GTCAAAAAAAGATCCAGCTATGGTTTCAAGGGGCAGCTATTCATGGTAGCGGGGTCAAACTATATCAAACTATAGGAGCAGGCAAAGGGAGTCCTGCTAAGTGACCTGCCCAGCAGAGACACTGACAAGTGGGGAGCAGTGAGAGAATAACCAGAAAAGTGAAACATTTGAGCCCTGCAGTATCTAAAGCATGTCATCCTGACCAAAATGGCCTCTAACCTGTGGATAGCCAGAGCCAAACAGAGAAGGCTAGAGACAGGAGAGTCAGGAATCAAACAAAGGTTTAATTTTAAAGTGAGGGAAATGGCTTGCAAGTAAGAAGACATGTACATTTTCAATAGTTGAGGATATAACTTTTTATTTTGGTAGGGCAGAGAACTATGTTTTGTTTATTCACACATCTAAAATCATTTTGCAAGTAATAATAAACGAAATGAATGAAACAAAACATTAAGTGCTCTCTATGTGCCAGGTACAGCGCTAAATTTGTGTATATGAACATAGATGGCAATATTGTATGGAAGAATTGAACCTGCTTATCAATATTTAATCAATTTTAATTAAATACTCTTCTGATACAATGAGAGGAAATTTCCAGTTAAACTGATTATAAAATCATGAAATCAATCCAAATCCACTGTAAACCCTAGCCCTATACAGATATCTTTGCATCTGTCTTTAAAATGGCAATAAGCAAAAATGATCCTCTTGATTGACAGTTGTCACATGTCTAAAATAAATAGGTGATACTGAGTAGAAATGAGAGAAGGTACCACCTAGAAAGTCCTTATGATGGCTTATAAAAATATTTACTAATACCTGGTGGCTTCCCAGTAGTGGACATTGGAGTTCCACCTGGTTGAACTGGTAGTTCAGAGGCTAGGTAATTCTCCCTGTAGAGAATCCCAGTCAAATCTCTTAGCTTTCATAATTGCCTTTCCCTGATTTGGCTGGGATTCTCTACAGGGAGAATTACCTAGCTTCTTGAACCAATCTGTGGAGGTGTCGTAATGCCAAAGTCATCCTATGGAATTTGAATTAGAAGCCAGTAGGCAAATGGTGGTACCTTAGTAGTCGCCATAAAGTCTTTGTTTGTTTGTTTTTAAATGTTATTTTTTTTGTATTCCAGGAACAAAATAATGACATTTAATTGTTAAAAATGCTGTAATCAATAAGAAACACACAAAATGAGAAGGCACAAATGGATTGTAATCTGCAATGCTGGAAGTTATACCTAAATAGATGAGATCACAGGTCCACCAGCAATTTGTGGCAAATGGATCTGTGATCCAACTGTTTCAGAAGTTCCTTCCAACAAACACCCTAGCCATCTCCTGCATTATTCTTATTCATGTCCTCCCATTTGTTTGGTGGGGCCAGGGAGGGTAGGGGTTTGCAGATTTTGCTGAAAACCTTCCTCATTTTGTCCTACCACTCTGGCTGTTTACCTGTCATCCCTTGCTCTCACCAGGTGACTAGCCTTCTCATAAATGCTCTTTTATCATTCTCTGGAGTTTCTCATTAGTTTTATGTTGCAGATTGCTAATACCCATCAGGAGCTTCTCTACTGTCTTCCATGGAGTTATAATTTTTTAAAAATTTTTAATTAATTCATTTTGAATTATCAACAATCACTTCCATAAGCTTTTGTGTTTTAAATTTTTCTCCTCCTCCTTCCCCACTTTCCTCCCCAAGACAGCATGCAATCTAATATAAGCTATACATATATATTCTTATTAAACATATTTTCACATTAGTAATGTTGTAGGTAAGAATTAGAAACAATAGGAGGAACCACCTGAAAGAGGAAACAAAACACAACAGAAGAAAAAAATAGCAAATAGTATGCTTCGATCTGCATTCAAACTCCATAGTTCTTTCTTTGGATATGGATAGAATTTTCCCTTATAAGATCTTTGGAGATGTCTTAGATTCTTGTATTGCTGAGAAAGGTTAAGTCTATCAATATTAGTTACAGCACAAAGTGGCTGTTACTGTGTGCAACATTCTCCTGGCTCTGCTCATTTCACTCAGCATCAGACCATACAGGTCTTTCCAGGTTTTTCTGAAGTCAGCCTGTGCATCATTTCTTATAGCACAATAGTATCCCAAGAGTAATAATTTTTTAATACTTTAGAGACTGCTAGATCCTATGACTTATTGCTATATAGCAACAACTGCAAAATGTTGATATTTAAAAATGGGCCTTTGCTTTAACGGGAAGCTTGTGGTCGCTAAAGGAGCTCTGTAATTTCTCAAAGGCATCCCAGCCTGCTCTTTTCCTCCTGTTTGACTCAGGGCCTGACAGTATATAAATCCCTCTCTAACTCTATCTGAGACAGACAATTTAGGCCATGTCAGGCCACGATTTAAACAGGAAAAAAAAGCAGGCTAGAGTGCCTTGTGGAAATTGGAATTTGTCCATATATAGGTATGCATGTGCACATAACTTGTATATGGACTATATATGTGGACAAATACTTGATTCCTTAGATGTCACAACAAAAATTATGTAATCCTTTTCAATGACCTTCTTATCATAAATATTAGGTAAGGCATAAAAAGGGAGAGTCAGTCTATGATAATAGTAATCAGCATAGAATCCAAGTTGTTGAGAGATTCTCTAGATATTTCTGTGGATGACATTGTACTGATTGCCTTAAAACATTTCCAAGTGTCCTGAAACAGATCTATGACTACTAAAAAGAATTCAGCCTGACCAACCATACTAGAAAGACAAAGTTTGTGATAATTTTTGCAAGTTGTACTCTTTTCATATTTAAATGTCCTTGGGATGACTTTTCATAGTTGGATCTTTTGCCAAACTGTGTGTGTGTGGCAACTGGGGTTAAGTGACTTGTCTCAAGTCACACAACTAGTAAGTGTTATGTGTCTGAGGCCAGATTTGAGCTCAGGTCCTCCTGACTCCAGGACCAGCGCTCTATCCGCCATGCCACCTAGCTGCCCCTTGCCAAGATTTCTTTAAACTGTTTTTACACTCTTCTGCTTCAGGAGATGACCAGGCTCATAATTATCTATTAGCCTTCCTCAAAAGAATTTATAAATGAGTTTATATTCTAAGTCAGTGTTGTCTTCAATGGTCATTTCCTTGTATAATATATCATATGTCTATTAGTTAAGGAGCTTTCTCAGCTCTTTTCACCTCCCTGTTGTGTCAAAGTAATTGACACTGGTTGAGCATCTAGGTAGATAAAACTATTTTACTCAGGATTGATACAGTTTCTCTTGTCCATTTTCCATTTTAGATTATCAACTACTTGTTTAGGAAAAATCTGGTTCAATTATACACCATGCATTTCTCATCATCATTATTATTATTGTTAACTAATTCTGATTTTAATTCTGATGAGTTGATGATCTGACTATATACAGACATCTCATTCAAGGGTAATTTCCATACCGTGAATACCACATCCAGTTTACAAAGGTATGAGGCCTCTGTATAATCTATAAGTCTTTGGCTTTATCTTCTAGGAATAGGGAAGGGATGAGTTCAATGTTGTGTTATGGGATGTAGGGGTAGTGTGTATGTGTAGGATGTACATAGGACACACTTTGAAGTGTATGTACATTATTAACATTTTCTCCTTCACCTTTTTAAGTCTAGAAAATACACAATAAATCAAGCTCTAATTTGTAACATTTGCTGATTTCCAAGGTGTAAATGTTTATGATGGAAATTTAACAATCAGCTTGGGTTCAAACTGGTTCCAGCCTACCCCTATACACCACTGTTAACCTCTGTAATTTGCCACTACATCTTTTGGCCTATTGCTATTCTGAGTATTTGGGTCTTTCTCTGGAGAATTAGAAAATGAAACCCTCTACTTATCTCATTTATCACTGGCCTCCAGGAAGAAGATAATCTGTACAATAATGCTCTATCATCCAGACAAAGATAAATCGTGATGTTAAAGCACTTCTTACTCCAAAGACTGCCTTAACTCATCTGAATTCAGGCCAGCTACCTTAAACATTTATATTATACTTCATTTTTTTGGGGGGGGGGTAAGGCAATGGGGTTAAGTGACTTGCCCAGGGTCACACAGCTAAAAGTGTCATGTATCTGAGGCCGGATTTGAACTCAGGTCCTCCTGACTCCAAGGCCAGAGTTTATCCACTGTGCCACCTAGCTGCCTCTTATATTATACTTCAATCATTGCCTTATTCTAATGATTACAATTTTTTTTTCTGTTAAATACTTTAAAAAATTGCTCTTTGTCCAACTGTATGCTTACTTTACCTAAAGTATATGCTAAATACACAAAAGGTGAGTGGGCTCTTCTGATGAGGAATGCAACTTTAATGACAAATATTATTCTCTTTCCTCCTGGGAATCTAAGGACTTGAAGCAGGCTTCCCCCAGTTCACTACATTAAAAAAACTCCCCCAAACCCCCCAAAAACAAGTGATAGCACTTAAGACTCTGGTGGTAGGATGGATGGTTACAGTTTCATTAATCAACCAGGAGATCTCATTCAGAAAAAAAAAAAAAACTTCCTCTGAAGGTGATGGAGGTGTCCCAAGTTGTATTTTCCAGAGAATTTAAAATTAAATTTGTCTCCTTTTGGAATAAATTATTTTTTAGGTCTCTATGGGCGAAAAAACTATTCCTTAATTCTCTGTGCTCTGTTGGGGGAGGAATCTTGACACAGAGGTATTTTTATCCCCCCCCTTTTCGTTGCTAAATCGAACTTGATATGACTCATGTAATACAGTCAAGCATTTCCCAATGTCCCAGAATTATGGAAGGTATCCTAGAAATAGAGATGGGAGTAGTGTTACAGGTTATCAAATCTAATTTCTTCTTTATAACTGTTATAAAGTCTCAGAAAAACAGGGATGATCAGACATGGCAACATTGTTAGAATTGGAGCCAGAACTCAGGTCTTTTGTTTAGTACTAAATGTTTGACAATTCTAGATTTTCCTTCTTGTATAAACAAGGTCATTGCTTTGTATTCCAGATATTGAATTTACCTTGGGGTTTTATCAGAGGCAATAATCGGCAGATACAGTTCTGGTGCCAAAAAAGTTGGTTTGTAGTGTCACCTCAGATTGAATAGGAAAGGGCGTAGTATCACCAGCTAAAAAGAAGGGAGGGGTGGGGAAGAAAGGGAGGATAATAAAGAGTAAATTAAACAGTAATCAAACAGAACATTTCTATTTCTAAAACAAAGAAACTCACATCATTTTAAAAGGAGGAAGGTTAAGGATAAGTACTTATATAGCTCCTGCTATATGATAGACACTTAATGAATATTATCTCATTTGATTCACACAACAACGCTTTCAGTTAGATACTTTTATTATACACATATTACCGTTAAGCAGCCTGAGGCAACTAGAGGTTAACTGATCTGCCCAAGGTTACACAGGTAGTAAGTGCCTGAAGCTATAGTAGAATCTGGACCTACCTTTGTGTTACAGTTACCCAAAAATAACACCCAGAGATTTTCTAGGTATGAAGTGAAAGATTTATTACGTTCTGGAGAGAAGAGGGTGTCTGCTTCCCCCGGCAGTCCCAGGGAAGCCAGGTGAGGCACAAAGGTCAGAACAAATGTTATATAGCCCTAGCGCAGAGACACCCACCCACCACTGGCTGTAAATTCCCATTGGACAGGAATTTCAGCCTTATGATCTAAAATGTGAAAATCTACCCCAGAAACAAGGAATCTCATTATAATACTACCAATCCTAGCTATTTTATCCTTATTTAGCATTAGCCATTACCTAATACTAATGTAACAGTACAGATCATGTGTTTTCTAGGAACTTGAAATTTGGGCCTATTCAGGCTAGCGTAACCAACCTTGAGTTTGTAACAGTCTACAAAACTGTTATATTCAGTCCATCTGAGAGATCTCACACTGTTTTTACATTGTCTCACTCACACCTGACTCCAGGCCCTGTGCTCTATCCATGGGGATGCTTACAGTTGAAGGAAAAATGAAAAATTCACTAAAATGCCCTGAATGGTTAGTCCATTACATAACCAAGTTCGAAAGTCTTGGTAGAGACTTAAACTTATCAGAGAAAGCATACATGGAAATGCAATTTGTGATTACATAAACAGGGGACACAGTCACATTACCCAACCAGAAACCTGCAGGGACTCTGACACCTTGTGAAATTCAGACATGTGAGGATGACAATCTGGCTGCTTCCTCAAGTACAAATATTCAACAACTTCAATTCAGTAAGCATTTGCTGAAGAAACTGCGGACAAACACCACCACCACTGGGGATATAACACACACGAAAGAAACTCCATCTGCTCAGGTGCCAACACTCTCCCAAAAGGCTGCAACACCTACACCAGAAAGTCAATAGGAGATATAAACAAAATGACAGAAAAAAATTTCACGAGGTAGGGTCAAACAGATGGCTCGGTTCGGGCCCTGGAATTAGGAAGCCCCAAGTTTAAATTCGGTCCCAGACATTTACGAGTTGTGTGATCTTCGGTAAGTCACTTAACCTCTGTTTACCTCAATCCATTGGTTCTCCAGAAAACGGCAAACCACTCCTGGATTTTTGCCGAGAAAACCCCAGGGACAGCATGACGCACGTGGTCAGGAAGAGTGGGATGTGACTGAACAACAACAGTAGAATGCATTAACAACTTGTAGCTATTACAAGCCCCTAAAGTCACTCACCCCAAAGGCCTTCTTCCTGGAATGAAGAGTTCCGCATTTTACAACGAGCACAGCCAGTTTTAGTGGCTTTCATTTACAAACAGTCTCATTTCCGAGTTCGTACCTTTGAAGAGTATTCCAGCATTGTTGACCAGCACATCCACGCCCCCGTACCGCTCCTTGAGAAATTCCCGCAGGCTCCGAATGCTCTGCAGGTCAATGATATCAGGGTTCAGTCCCTCCTCCTTCAGATCCTTCACCGCCTCCTGGCCCAGGGTCGGATTCCTGGCGGTGAGAATCACGTCCCCGGGGAATTTCTTGCACAGATCGCGCACGATGACCAAGCAGATCCCCTTTTTACTCCCGGTCACCACGGCCACTTGGCTGCAGGAAGACATGACTCGGGGATTGTAGAGGGCAGGAAGTCCAAGACACTGAGCCGGGACTGGCCGGGGATGCAAGCCAGAGAAGGCGGCTAGGCTTGGAGATGTTTAAGCTGCAATTTGTGGCTGACACTGGTTTTAAATAGTCCATACTCTGGCGCAGGTCCTCTCTCCTTTCCAGGACTGTTGGTGAGGGTGAATAAGTAACTTCACAGCTTCTCTCTTTCCTTGTCTCATGTATCTGTCTCTCTCTAAGGGAGAGCAGCCACCTACTCCCAGGTTTCTAAATTCCAGGTGGAGGGGGAAAACAAAACAGAAAAATCCAAACTACAGACCCTTAAGAGGGTTGATGCCTTTTCTTTTGTCTCCCTCTGTCGTTCTCTCGTACAATTATTTAGCTCATAAATATTTGTCCCCCCCTCCCCAATTTGTTTTTCCTAAATCCTTCTGTTGCGGGCTAAGAGGTTGAGAAATTGTGACCCCTCAAAGACCGGAGTACAGGACAGGTCGTCTGGAATGAATTCACAGACTCAAGTATTCTTTAATTCAAGGTGGCAAAGATTTATTGTTACACTTTTCAGCAGGCAAGGATTCTTAAAGGATCCTGCAACCTTAGAGAGGTACAGGTAAATTTATATAGGATAAAATGCAATAAAACATATGTCAAATATGCTAACTAGAGGATTCAGGGTAGAATTAGGGAGTGGTTAAGGAGTGGTCAGTTCTCAGTTGAAACTCAAGAAAAGTCCTATTATTCAAGAGAGTATCTGGTCCCAGACATCCTGGGCCCAGTGATAACAAACAGGAAGAATACTGATCAGCTCTATCTGGTCCTGGAATTTGCTAACACAGGAAGAGGTGTTTTTAGTTCACTCAGAGAGAAAAAAGATTAATTTAGGTTTTTGGCCCTTATTGGGGCTCAATTGATCTTAAATGATTATCAAGGGACAGTGTTTCTGAGGCTAGGGAGAAATTGGGGCCCAAGTACAAGCACCCAAACATAAGCACCCAAGCACCCCAACACTTCCAAGTTCCCCCTAATAAGCTGCTAAAAGTCTTAACTCAGTGCACCCAGGTGTGACGGTAGAGCAGGGAGGCATATACTCGGAAAGTGTACAAGATACTCCCAAGTTCCAAAGAATTAGTGGGAAGTATCTCAGAAAATTAATCTCTACAATAGGTTATCAGTTTACACTGTGAGAATTTGTGGGTAGAAAGACTAAAGTTTCTTCAAATGTCTGCATATATTCTAAGGAATATGCACTAAAGAACCGCCTGAGCTGCCCAGAGTTATTTCCTTTTTCTCTGTGGTATGAGCGTTTTTTGTAGGATGCAAGGTTCCTTTGATTATGAGTGTTTTGGGTCTTCTGTTGTTTGCAAAAACAATTTCCCTTTGGGAAGCATTTATTAAACACTTGCTTGCTCCAATCTCTTTGTGCTGAAAGTACAAATATAAAAGGAGGATAGTCTTAGCCCTCAGGGAAGATGATTTTTCCCAGGGGAATAGAAGATGTTCAGAGATAATTTTTAGATATATACAAAATATTAGATGTATTCAAAATAAATACAAATTTATTTGGGAAGCAACAGGAAACGGGCACTAGCCTCTGAAAGTAGATGGAGACATGTGCTCTCAGATGCAGCTGGTTTTGCTTGTATTTTTCATATTATAAAGTATGGTATGGTAAAGTGAGGCATCATTGGGAAATTACTATTATCTTAAAAGGTATGTATCATACACACACAAACACACATATGTATGTTCGTATAGAGAGGCAATGTGGTGGAGTGGATAGAGAGCTCTCCTTGTAGCCAAGAAAATCTGAGTTAGAATCTTGCCTCTGACAGGTAGAGACTATGATCCTGGGTAACTCATGTAACCTCTCAGTGCTCTCAGCAGCTTTCTAAGACTCTGAGTTACAGATGGGCTGATTTGCATTGGTAGAGGAAATTCCTCAGTAGGAGCTCCCTACAAGAGTTAAATCACAAATCCAATCTCTATCCCTCTCCCTGTGTGTGTGCACATGCATGTACACACAAATGCAGAGCTATGTGTATTCACACACATAGGGATATGTAGAAATTCATATTCATACAGCCACATATATGGACAGAAAGAGGTAATCCTTTAAGGAAAAGTATATGGAAGAAGAAAATGAGAGAATGTGTCAGGGCTGAGGCCACTGGATCTTTGTGATCTTATCCCCTGTAAACTTTTTTTTTTAAAGTTTTTAGGCAATTGAGGTTAAGTGACTTGCCCAGGGTTACACAGCTAGTAAATGACAAGTGTTTGGTCTGAGGCCGGATTTGAGCTCAGGTCTTCCTGACTTCAGGGCCGGTGGTCTGTCCACTGTGCCACCTAGCTGCCCCGATCTTATCCCCTCTAGCCAGCATCTTTACAAAATGATGGTGGTGCACGTTTTCAAGATGCTTGGACACCATTTAAGAAAGATATAAGCTGAATGTACAATTCAGTTGCTACAGGTAAAAAATCATTTTAGCATCTTTTCTACCCATCAATCTTTTCCCCAAAGATTGGAGTGAGCTTGGGCTTCAAGGTCAAGGTCATCTGGAGTCTGAGTAATTTGCCCTCAGGTCCAGTCTAAAAGCCCCTTTGAGGTTTAGAGAATGTTGGGTACATTGTCTACAGACAGCCCCACTCATCTTTCCTCACTTTTGGCAGAGCTCATAAAGGCTAGTTATATCAGTTCATCCTTCATTATATCCTTCACACCCCTGCCAGAGCTATTATGCTAAAGCTCTGATGGAATAGTTACTTCTCTACTGAAAACCCTTTAGTGGCTTTCTATTGCTTAGCAAGCTAAGTGTAAATACAATGGCATGCAGTCTTTCTGCAAGCTGACTTTAACTTGATTTCCAGTCCTAAGGGCTACCCCTCTTTTTCTGTTCTATATTCTAGTGTCTAGCTCTAGCCAAACTCTTCCTTTTTTTCCTCTCTACTTTTTATGCCTTTGCTCATACCTATTAGTAGAGTGTATTTCATCCCAGAAGTGAGTGATGGGTGATGATGGTGGCGTCAGAATATGTATGTTTGTGTTGGGTAAGTAGTATTGTTCTGTGTGTAAACACCCATGGAATGATGATGGCTTCAAGAGTCAATTCAACTGTCATCTCCTACAAGGAGCTTTTGCTTATCCCCTCAAGGACTAAGATTCTTCTTGAATTGCACTGATCAAGGAGTTAGCTTGACAAACAATTGAATGTATAGATTGAAAATGAAAGCACACCTGGATGTATGCATGGTGTAGACAGAACATAAGAGCCAAGACTGAGGCTAGCTCTCCTGCTAGAAATTGTTCTCGAGGTTTATAACATCTCTCTAGACTCTGAACCAACAAATGGGAAGATCTGACTGATTCTCAAAGGAAGTTTCTGTTTAAATCAGCAGTGGCATTGGGTCTATGGATAATTGTTGCACTATCAGTCCTGGTGAGACAGGGAGACCCAGTCTCCTGAAAAAAAAATAAAATCCAGAACAAATTTTATTCTCGTCTGATTTTTAATTCAATCAATGGGATAATTATTTTTCACCCTAAAGCAATGAAAAGAGTAGCCTTTTGGAATAGATCGGTTGGATGGTGCATTAAAGGTGGTTGTGAGATGGAGATAGCTAAACAATTCAGCTGTTTGAATGCCCTCAAGTTAAGTGCTCTTTTTATTTTACTTTTGTTATTATGTACAAGTTGCAACTTGCATAAAATTCGAATGTCAGAGTCATTAGTAACTACTGTATATTCTCTGTGTACTTTGATGCATGAAAATTATAAGGTATTACTTTTATCCATTAGCCTGCTCATATTTTGAAAAATGCCAAGAAAGGAAAGCTGAATCCTTTTAAAGAGACAAAAAAAAATGAATTTTAACTTCCTTTCTTCTTACTGTCAAAGAAACTTCATCTTAGTGCTCAAGATTATACAGATCTTTTCTCTGGCCAGAAGTACAGACTGTAAGCCTTGTGAATATGAAGTTCTCAGCAGACAAGTTCTGTTATCTTCAGTGTTTTATTTCTTAGCATCACTCATTACCAAATGGTGTTTGTTAGAAGTGATTAGCAAACGCTGAAGGTAGTATTCAAGGCTGTCTGAATGGAAAATCTCTGTGCATTTATCTGTGTGGAAAGAAAATATTAAATTTGATCAGTCGTTTTGCCAGGGAGCCTTGGTGACATTATTCTTTAGGCCAGTCCATATGGTGAAGTTCCTCTAAGAGCATATAGTATGGCACATGCTAAGCTCTCAGTGAGGCTTCTTTGTCCATCTTTTGCTCTTTAGATCAGGGCTCAATTATTTTGTAGAAAGGGGTGGAGTTCTATTCAGGAGATTTTGATTGGTTTCCCACTCTTGACATTAAAGTCAGGATGATGTCAATCAGTGAGGTAACTAGACTTTCTAGCTTGTAAAGTTCCAGGCATTAAAGATTCCAGATTGAGGAGAGGTTCAAAGAAGGGGAAAGAGAGAGAGAGAGAGAGAGAGAGAGAGAGAGAGAGAGAGAGAGAGAGAGAGAGAGAGAGAGAGAGAGAGAGAGAGAGAGAGAGAGAGAGAGAGAGTATTTGGTAGGAAAAGGAGGCATGGCTAAGAAATTAATGGACAGATAAAGAATAAAAGGAAAAATCAATCAGAGGGAACCATAACACTTTGGTTCTGGTCCTAGTCTGAAAGAGTGGACAGGTGTAGCTAACCAGCATTTCATCTGAAAAAGATCTGGATCCTCAAATTTGATCTGAGTCAGGTATGTGTGGTGGAGAAATGCACACAGCACCTCAGATCTTGTGCCAACCAATAAAGGGAGGATTCTAGGAAGAGTCATGGTGACACTAGATGGTAGAGTCTAGGAGAGATATTGGAACATATATGGATATTACATAGCTAGCTCCTGTCCAGTCCACACGATTAGAGGAAGACCTTTCAATTAGCTACAATTATGGAACTGTACCTGAGGCTGGACAAAGAGAGTCTTCAAAATGGGCTCTCATTCTCTTAAGTCATTTTCTCTTT